CAGAATAGTTAAATACATGGAGACAAAGTAGATTAGTGGTTGCTCAGGACTAGGAGAGAGAGACAAGTGATTAGGAGGTGACTGCTGAAGGGTTGATTTTAGTGATGATTGTATACTTCTGTGACTATACTAAAACCATGGACTTTTTTTTTTTTTTTTGAGTTGGAGTCTCACTCTGTCGCCCAGGCTGGAGTGTAGTGGCACACTCATGAACACCCCAGCGTCAACCTGCTGGGCTCCGGCGAGCCTTTCGCCTCAACCTTTCAAATAGCCAGAACTACAGGCGCATGCTACCACGCCAAGCTAAATTTTGATTTATTCTAGAGTCGAGGTCTCACCAAGTTGCCGGGGCTGGTCTCAAACCTGCGGACTCAGACAATCCACTTGCCTCGGGCTCCCAAAGTACTGGAATTACAGGTTGAGCCACTGAGCCCGGCCAAACCATGGAATTCTTAAAAGAAATTTGACATCTAGATGTGTTGTAGTGAAACTGTAGGACACAGAAAGGAAACAAAACTTCTTAAAAAGAGCCTGAGAAGAGCCGGGCTCAGTGGCTCAGCCTGTAATCCCGTGCTTTGGAAGGCCGAGATGAGTGGATTGCCTGAACCTGCGGGTTTGAGATCCGCCTGGGCAACTTGGCAAGACCTCATCTCTACAATAAATCCAAAAATTAGCCAGACGTGGTAGCACACACCTGTAGTTCCAGCTACTTGGAAGGCTGAGGCGGAAGTATCGCCAGAGCCCAGCAGGTCGAGGCTGCAGTGGCTGGGAGCATGCCACTGCCCTCCAGCCTGGGCAACAGAGTGAGACTCCAACTCAAAAACAAAAACAAAAACAAAAACAAAAACAGAGCCTGAGAAGAAAACAATTCACTACAAAAGATCATTAATTACATTGTCAGCTGGCTGCTCAACATGAAAAGTGGAAGCAAGGAGACAGCAAAATAATATCTTCAAAGTGCTAAGGGAGGACAATCATCGACTTAAAATTGTGTTCCCAATAAAATCATCTTTCAAAAATGAGAATGAGATAAAGATATTTTCAGATAGACAACAACGAAGAGAGTTAAGTCTCATCAGATTTTCAATAAAGTAGCCTCTAAAGGATGAGCTTTGGAAAAACGAAAATGATTAGAGTCTGAAACTAAAGTGCTGGTGAGAAAATGGAGCAACAGGAACTCATACTCTATGCACTACTTGCTGATGGGAGCCTAAACTGTTTCGATTACTTTCAAAAAATGATTCAGCATCATCTTGTAAAATAGAATATACAATACAACCCAGCATTTCCCCTCCTAGATATATATGTACCCCAAAGGATCTCTTTTACCTGTGATCCAGGAAACATATACAATAAATGTTTATATATTCACAGAATCCAACCTTATGCATAGTGAATGTGCATAGAATACAGCTAGATAAAACAGTATGCATAAATCCCACAAACGATGTTGGGTGAAAGCAGCAAATTGCAGAAGATTACATACAGTATGATGTCATTTTTATTTAAAAAACATATATATATGGCTCACACCTATAATCTCAGCACTTTGGGAGGCTGAGGCGAGAGGATTGCCTGAGCCCGTGGGTTTGAGACCAGCCTGGGTAACTTGGCGAGACCTCATCTCTACAATAAATCAAAAAATTAGCGGGACATGCACATGCCTGTAGTTCCTGCTACTTGGAAGGCTGGGGTGGAAGCATCTCCTGAGCCCAGCAGGTCGAAGCTGCCGTGAGTGTGCCACTGCACTCCAACCTGGGCAACAGAGTGAGACTCCAACTCAAAAATAAATACACACACACATACACACACACACACACACACACACACACACACACACACACACACTTTTTAAAATGTTTTATTTTAAACATGCGGGGTACATTTCAAGGCTAGGTATACAAATGTTAATTATGAAGGTACCTGTGTTGATTAGTTGTCTTCCCCCTACCTGCAGTTTCCCACTACTGCCAATCGCTTTCTTATAGTATTACAATAGTAGTTCAAGGTATGCTTATGAGTGAGAACATGTGATACTCGGTTCTTTGTTTCTGTGACAGATCATTTAGTATTATAGACTCTAAGTCCATTCAAATTGCTGCAAAGTTCATAATTTTGTTCTTTATAACTGCATAATATTCCATCGTGTATCTGTACCACATTTTTTAAATCCAGTCCCCTTATATATACACATACTTGTACATAGCATATGTGTATCATACATATGTGACCAAATTATTTATTTTTTATTTTCTGAGTGGGGGTCCCACTCTGTCACCCAGGCTGGAGTGCAGTTCCACAATCATGGCTCACCACAACCTCGACCTCCTGGGCTCAGGCTATCCTTTTGTCTCTGCCTCCCAAGTAGCTGAAACTGCTGGAGTGTGCCACCACATTCAGCTATTTTTTTTTTTTTTTGTAGAGACCAGATCTCACAATGTTGCCAGGCCAGTCTTGAATTCCTGAGCTCAAGCAATTCTCCCCCCACAGTCTCTCAAAGTGTTGGGATTACAGGCATGAGCCACTGTACTTGGCCATGGTAGAACCATTTAAAACACACAACACACACACACAATTACCTTGGGCAGGGAGTTGGGGAATAGAGATAAAAGAGCACACACACCTTTAATGTTATTGATAATTTGGAATGATTGCTGAGGTCTGAGAATGGGTGGAATAAAACAGATTTCAAGAATTGAAGCCATAACAGGGAGGAAAAATGCACTTTGACTACCTAGGTCCAAACTCTAGATCACAGGTGACTGTTTGTGTTATCATGTTATTATTAGCTTTACATGCACGTTGCTTATACTCTTAAGTATGAAATATCACATAATAAGAATTTAAAGAATATTTAAGAACAGGGAAATTTTTATGATATAATGCTGAAGAAGAAAAGTAGAATATAGAATTTTTATGTTGTATATGCATTTGTTTCTTTTTCTTTTTTCTTTTTTTCTTTTTTTGAGTTGAAGTCTCCCTCTATTACCCAGGCACTCACAGCCACCCCACATTGACCTGCTGGGCTCCAGCAATCCTTCCACCTCAGCCTTCCAAGTAGCCAGAACTACAGGCACACGCTACCATGCCCGGCTAATTTTTTATTTTATTGTAGAGACAAGGTCTCACCAAGTTGCCTGGGCTGGTCTCAAACCCACGAGCTCAGCCAGTCCACTCACCTCGGTCTCCCAAAGTGCTGGGATTACAGGCTGAGCCACCGAGCCCGGCCTCTGTTTCATTTTTAACACAGACACACACTTTGCATGTGGGTATATGTGTGCAAAGAAACAAAATCGGATAGCATCAATATATTATTAGTGGCCAGGCGCAGTGGCCCACACCTGTAATCTCAGCACTTTACGAGGCTGAGGTGGGAAGTCACAAGCAACAAAGTGAGATTCCCATCTCTATAAAAAAATAATAATACACACACACATATATATGTATATAATGAGTGAATACCTCTAGATGTTGGGATAGTATGTGACTTTTTCTTCATAGTTTTCTGAATTTTCCAAATATTTCACAAGGGCATAAATATATATTAATTTTACCATTATAAAAATTATAAAGCTTGATAGGCATTAAACCCTTTTTATTTAAAATTCTGCCAATATTCGCTTTTAAATTTCTACTCTATGTATAACATCTAGAACTTAAGCTGGGTAGGGAATCCAGAAAGACTTATTATATTATTCTTTATACCTTTATATATGTGAAGTATTCCATAGTGCCGTTTTAAAATTGCTATTAAAAAGTAACTACAGAGCCGGGCTCGTGGCTTGGCCTGTAATCCCGCGCCTTGGGAGACTGAGGTGATTGCCTGAGCCCGTGGGTTCGAGACCCGCCTGGGCAACTTGGTGAGACCTCATCTCTACAATAAATCAAAAATTAGCCGGGCATGGTAGCGCGCGCCTGTAGTTCCAGCTACTTGGAAGACTGAGGCGGAAGGATCGCCGGAGCCCAGCAGGTCGAAGCTGTGGTGGCCAGGAGCGGCCACTGCACTCCAGTCTGGGCGTCAGAGTGAGACTCCAACACAAAAAAAAAAAAAGTAACTACATGATTGTAGCTTTTTAAAAATAGGATTAGTGAAAGGGTTAGAGCAAAACATTCTCTCTCAGAGCAAACACTGGGAGTGAGAATGTGTAGCTTTGGTCACAGGTATATATAGGGCCTTACTGGTTGAATAGCACTTACTGAACTTTCCTTGAGAATTCTAAAATGTGAGAATGGTGCCAGATGAAATTGCACCAAGGAATCTGGAAAGAACAGTTTCTTCTGGCTTAAAAAAAAAATCTAATTTTATATTTCTGTGACATAAGAGAGATTTTTTTTTCCAAGAATGATCCTCCATTCTGAATGACTATGAAATTTCAGCTTGTTGAATACATCACAAGTATTAATGTATCAAAATTCTCTTGAATATTTTTATAGTAATCTTTCCAAAAAATCCTTCAGTCTTGGTGTATTTGCCTAGAGTTGCAAAAATGTAGTGTTAACATTAATTTCAAAAACACTTTCAATGAAATTTGTAAACAGAACCAAGCCCTCTGAGCTGATATTTCAAAGCAGTATCTATAAACTCCCAACACCGTTCCAATTTCAGATGAATTCAAGCCAGGAACCGGGAGAACTCCCCCATGGAATCTAGGGGAGGGTGGTCACGTCCTAAGCTTCAGAAGAAGCCAGAAACAGTACGGTCTGACATTTCTTGCTTTTAACTTCTTTGATTTGCTGTCACACGGCAAGGGATTGACGAGTGTCTCAAGGGAAGTCAAAAGCGACCGACCACACCTGATTCTCTCCTGGAGTCCTATCTCGCCACTGCTCCACATTTGCCTGCTACGAGGCGAAAAACCACAACTCCCAGGGGCCTGGCAGGACTGGGGCGGGGCCGTCCCGTCGATTGGTTAACCCGTAGCCCTAGGAAAGCGATGATTGGCCATCCTGGGAATAGGGCGGGGCTAAGCCTCACAGGGACTCGCCGCTGAGACCGGCGGAGAAAGGCAACCTGGGCGTTTTAGGTCCAAACTCCAGCGGCGACTGACAGCGGGGACTCGAGAGAAGCATGGCTGCGCGGTCCGTTTGCGTGCTGGCCCGAGCAGCTGTGCTGCTGCTAGTTTTCGCCACCATCTCCAGATCGAAGGGCCTGAGGGGCAGGGAGCACGAGGGGGCGTCGCAAATCCCTTCTCGGTTCAGCGAAGAGGAGCGGTTCGCGATGAAAGAGGCGCTGAAAGGTGAACCTGGGTCCCCTTCGCCCACCTATGCTCAGATGTGCGTCCCTCCCTCCTCGGGTCAACCTGCGACTCCCCTCTGCTTTCGCAGAGAGGGTCCGCTACTCCAACTGGAGCTCCGCCACACATTCGTGGCCCCAGCACATTTCCCAGTACATCGTGCTCCGGCTTGGGAACACCACTCTTCCCTGACACCTGGTTTCTGGAACGCTGGTGTTCCCTACCTAGCCCGGAAGCTCCAACTTCACCCTCTTAGCGTGCCACCGTCCACCCTCTCCCCTGCTTGCCTTGAGTGTTGCAACAGCTTTTAATTGTGTAGCACTTTTAGCCTTTGAAAGTTTTCGCGTCTGTTAAGTTTCTGTGGCATCTTAAAATAAGACTAAATGATCTCAGACTTATCTACAGAGGATGGCCCTGAGGCATAGGTCAACTAAGTGATCTTCCCCAGTGTCCCATAGCAAAAGAAGGCACTGGGTGAAAACATCTGGTGCCTGTGGGACTCGCTGGGCTCTAGATGAGTCTAAGAGGGAGTGTGTCGTGTTCCTGGACGTGGGATGTTCCTAATTTCCTCTTCTAGTTGAAGACCATCTCTCCCCTAGACCTCTAACCAAGGCTAGAAACTCATTCATCTTCTGAATCTGCATTTTCCAGGAGGAGAAAGGAGAGTTTCTGTTGAGTGCTAGAACCTATGGGATGAGATCCTTCCTCACCATTGGGCTTAGCTCTAGTCTTTTCCCTTTCATTAAGTAATGGATTAAGAGAAACTGCCTACGTAAACATGTGCAGCCAGATGCAGGAACCAAATGCTAACCCCTGCAGTTGGATATAGATTGTGCGTTTGCTGGAGTGACAGGCCTGAGAGGCAGAGCAGAGCTTCCCCCAAAGCATAATGTAAATAGTCCTCTAACAGGCATCAGGCAGCCTGACAGAGTCTGCACAGAAGAGAACAGAAGCTAGATAGAAATCTAGAGCAGGCACCTTATAGCAACCCGCTTAGAACTCTGAGCAGGGACAGAACACCTGAGTTCAGCTTGGGTGTGCTCTTGATTAGACACGTTAATCTTTTTGAACCTCGGCTTCCTCATCTATGCGATGGGCTGTGCTGCTCTAGGGTTGATCTTTAGCAAAACTGATTAAGTTTGACTTTCAGAGGCCCTCCCTGGACATCAAGCTGCCCTTGAATTTGGTTCCACTATGTTCTTGATAGTTGTCTAATTCAATAGTCTCATAACTCATTGTTTACCCTCTCAGTGGTATTTGCATTTGATAATGGAATGCTTCAAAACCAAAAAGTCTTAGCCAGGCCCAGTGGCTCATGCCTGTAATCCCAGCACTTTTGGAGGCAGAGACAAAAGGATTACCTGAGCCCAGGGATTCGAGACCAATCTCAGAAACATAGTGAGAACTCATCTCTACAATAAATCAAAAAATTAACCAAGCATGTGGCACGCACCCATAGTTCCAGCTACTTGGAAAGCTGAGGCAGAAAGATCACTGAACCATGAGTATGCCACTGCATTTCAGCCTGGGTGACAGAGTGAGACTCTGACTCAAAAAACAAAAACAAACAAACAAACAAAAACTGTAAAGTCTTAAAGACTCAAAGGAATGAACCGAGTGACAATTCAGGCCCTGAGACAACTGTGTAGGGAGAAGGAGATTATTTTAGGACTGAGGAGCTCGTCTGGGAGCTTCTAAATCTACCCCTTCCCAGGCACCACATGCCCAAAAAACTAGCCTTGGTAAAGAGATTAGTGAGACTCTGAATGAGCCACTCCATTAGGAATAAGCCCACCCTTTACACACAAAAACACCCAAGCCTCAAAGATGTTGTGACCCAGGACATAGAGTTCCTTGACACTCAAGAAACTTGGATTCACCAAAGGGAGTGGTGATTTCACAGACAGAGTGAGGCCATAGGAAGCAATTTATAGTAGCTTCCCTCACAGAATAAGTGTTCAAAATCTACTTCCCCTCAAATCTTGACCTTCACTTTAAAAATCATTTTAGCCTAAACAAACCCAGAAGATCTGGGTTTAACTCCAAGTTCTGCTTGTTGCTTGGACAGCTCACCTAACCTCTCTAAGCTTGTTCCTTCATCTTTGAATTAGGGAAAACAACATTGTGTACCTCACAGGACTGTTCTGCCCTCTGCAATAAGATAATGAATGCAAAAGAATTTCTTGTGCACAGAGGATTGTAGAAAAAACAATGATTCTTAGCATTTATAACCTTTCATCTCTAACTGTTTAACTCTGACAGGTGCCATCCAGATTCCAACAGTGTCTTTCAGCCCTGAAGAGTCCAATACTACAGCCCTGGCTGAGTTTGGAAAATATATTCGTAAAGGTCAGCTGCCAATCATGGACAAGGGGTGGTAGGGATAGTTCTTTTACAAAGTGATAAAGAAGTTTATTTTGTGACTGATCAAGGACAATTTAATTCCCACTGGCAGAGTAGAGACTATAGATTTGCCCTTTGAGTAACTAAGACGCAAAGCCATTGGGTTAGAGTTTGAACTCTCTTAGTCTTTGCCCAATATATGCGTCACTCAGTAAATATGAAATAATCAAAAGGTAGAACTAGGGGTTCCTTCTACCTGTGAAGATGTCCAGAACTCCCACACCTACCTCTCTACACATACCTACACACCTATACACATATACTCCCCCAACTCAGGTTTACTCCAGATTCATGACTACCATATTTCTAGGCTTCTAGGCAAGTCAACAACCTTCACCTATAATGTCAATCCTCTCCCCTCATCCCCACCAGACATGGAGTATAAAGCCAAGGAAGGATGGGTCAGAGGGAAAAAGGATTCTTGTAATGTCTCCCTTCCCTTGTGAAAATTTCATGAGAGTAATGAGACCACCCTCCTAAATCAAATTAAAAACAACCCCCTCCAAAGTCAGGAGTAGGAGAAACTGGCCTAGGAACAGCCAATAGCCCCTCTCTCACACACTGGGACAAATGGCTCTGGAAGCTGAGACCAGCCTGATAGTGTTTATTAAATAAGAGATAAAAATAGGGAAATAGGCCGGGCTCAGTGGCTCAGCCTGTAATCCCGTGCTTTGGGAGGCTGAGGTGAGTGGATTGCCTGAGCCTGAGGGTTCGAGACCCGCCTGGGCAACTTGGTGAGACCTCATCTCTACAATAAATCAAAAAATCAGCCGGGCGTGGTAGCGCATGCCTGTAATTCCGGCTACTTGGGAGGCTGAGGCGGAAGGATCGCCGGAGCCCAGCAGGTCGAGGCTGCGGTGGCCGGGAGCGTGACACTGCTCTCCAGTCTGGGCGACAGAGTGAGTCTCCAACTCAGGAAAAAAAAGGAAAAAAAAATGGGAAATAAATATACATTAACAGAAAACTCGACAGAGTGAGACTCTGACTCAAAAACAAACAAACAAACAAACAAAAACCCCCAGATAGCTAGATAAGCTGGGTGACAAGATAAAATCATATTCTTCTTCGGTTTTGTTTGTTTGTTTGTTTTCAGGTATTCACAAAGGTATATGTGGATTCTTCCAACAAAGCCCAGAGAGAGATAAAAGTTCTTTCTGCCATGTTGCTAAGGCCACTTGAGTAATTGACCCTGGGAACAACCACACCTGCACAGAAATGCAACCTTGTGCTGACAGAATAAACTTTATCTCCATGTAACACAAACAGTAGGCATTAAACAAAAATCTGAATTCTTTAATATAAGGGTCATGTTTGACTCCAAGTAATTTGGATAATGGGGCCTGTTCAGAATTTAACACACTTTTTGTCTGCATAGCCCTTTAACATATACTTGTGATAGCATGTTATAGGTTAAACTAAGCTTGATCTTAGGATATTGGCCATCTTAACAGTGGAGTATTAATTGCATATTATTATAGAGTAATAGCATATTAAAATGTGGGGAAGAGGAATTTCAAAGATTGCCCAGGCAGATCAGGAATCAGACCAGCTTTGTCCTAGAAGGCTTCCTAAAGGAGGACGCATATTTAAAAAAATTTTTAAAAAGCCAGGCTAGGTGACTTATACCTGTAATGCCAGCACTTTTGGAAGCTGAGGCAAGAAGTTTGCTTGAGCCCAGGAGTTTGAGACCAGCCTGGGCAACACAGCAAGACCTCACCTCTACAAAAAAAAAAAGTCCAACGTGGTGACATGTGCCTATATTCCCAGCTCCTCGAGATTGTCTGAGCCCAGGAGGTGGAGGCTGCAGTGAGCTGTGATCATGCCACTGCACTCCAGCCTAGGTGACAGAGTGAGACTGATTCAGAGAGAGAGAGACAGAGA